GACCTGGAAAGTGCGCATGTAGGTGTCTGGGAAACGCGGGTAGCGCCCGCTGGGGTGCGAGCCACGTTCTCCTCCAGCGTGCAAAAAATGCACGCCAAGCGTGGAGTCGAACGCTCAACTAGCACTTCCAGTGCGAGCTTCAAGCTGCTAAATAGTCCAGCGAATGCTGGATAGACGACAGTCTGTCGATGGTGGCTTCGAACTGCTCCAGCCGAGCAGTTACTGCGGAAGAGAGTTCCTCGAATCACAGCAGAATGAGTCGCTCTTGTGATCGAGCGTTTTTAGCAGCTCGGGAAGATCGCTGTCGAGTAGAGGTTCGTAGTGAGCCATTTTTGGCCTCTCGTCTTTCTTACCGGCTTTTATACGAGCATTCCATTGTTTATATGTAAGTTTGAATGTACCACTGCGCACTGTGGCTCCGCCCACGCTCGCACAAGATGGGTTTATTGCTTTGCTCGTTTAAAAATTATGGAATTACGTATGTACATAGGTCACTTTGCATATGACCTTGAGATCAATTTCGATTTTGAGTTACATAATTCCTTACTTGCTGCGCTGTGGACGCTGTGAACTGAAAGGTAACCCATATCACCCTGACGGTGCCTATGGAAAATCGCCCAACGCAGGTCGCGATAATTGGGAGTGTCCTCGTTAGGAACACGATAATTCTTATCAAAACTACAACGACTAGAGGGCCGAACAGATATGTCATGGCCACGCCTACTTGATATCGGGTAATCTTAAATTTTGCAACCAATGTATAGGTTTAGAGGCGTAGGTGTCTTTTCCGTTGAAAATATCGTCAATGTTTCTGATTTTGTGATAGAATAGTGTTACCTCCGTTACGAAATTTTTCTATTTGCCATCGCAAACCGTACGGCAGTTCTTTTGGATCACGGCATGATTGAAGTTGATGTTTACTATGCTCGATTTGTTTTCGGGATTGCATTCAATGGAGAATGTGTGTTCCTCACATTGTATTGTGATCCAAGACGACCTTTCAGTTTTGCATGAAATTCGGATTTGTGCACCTTCCATGCCATGGCTACTGGATTACATACTCGTTAGCACTAAGGGTCGTAGGAAAATGGAACGATTGACCCCTTGTTAATGTCTTGTCGCAGCTATGATTCGAGGCATAATTAACGAGGTGCGAAGGGACTTCTAAGCTGAGGCAGGTCGGCCGAGGCACGCACGAGCTACCAAGATCGGCACAAATTGAGTGAAAGCTCTCAACAGATTGAAAAAACGTGATGATTTTCCAAAGGGAAGAAGGCTTACGAAAAAGTAATACGATAAGATAGCGCTACCTGTCAAACTGAATGGAATGTTATAATGTCTAGCTTCCAACCAAGCATCGATAAAAAATTACACGCTCAATCTCTCGTAGAAACCCATACTGTTTACGAAGTGCATCCTTGGATATAGCTGAACCTCACTGCCTGCCTTCGGCGGCTTAGTTCAGGTAATGAGCTTCTGGCCTCTTCATATTATCCCGATAATGACTTCTTTATCACTTGGAAAGCACTCTGGCCAAACACAACACCTCAACGAGAGGGCATGAGCAGATAATTAAGCTAACAGGTGGAAAGGAACACGCGAGGTATTTGTTTGAGCAAGCCTTATGTTGTCATTTATTCAAGTACTAATCCACCATTATTATATTCTGCCAAATCCTGCTCTTATGTGGATGCAGCCGTTCCGTTTTCAGGGTTTCCTCAGACGTCGTCTCCCACAACTTTGTATGTAACACCGCCTCACAATTTTTATCCGGGACTAGCACCTTCGTATGACGTAGGGGTTGTATCACCTGCACATTTCCTCCCGCACTAGCACCTTCTCACTTCGTCGGCCAGGAACCAACATACCGCGTTACCCCTGTACCAGCAACTTCTTACCACGTGGAGCCCTCCTCCCCATACACTTTTCCCCCAGCACTGGGAGCATCTACTATGCCGGTCAGGAAGCAACATCCTGTTCCGCTGCTACACCAGCACCCTCGTATTACGTACAGGTGAGCATCCTTCGAATCCACGATCAGTACTGACAGACCTTTTCGTGAGGCTCGGGCAGTTCAACCCGATCGATGAATATACATCTGAGAAATGAAAAAAGCAGCTGTGAAGCAGGCAGATGTTTTAGCTCAGACTGCACACTTGTTTTTGTTTGAATAATGGTAATAATAATAATAACGACGATAATAATAATGTGAACTCATGAATAGCTGAAACATATAGCAACCTTTTTACCCACTTTAGCGAAAATTTTCGATGAATTCATGTCATGAATTTGGATAGCTTAATGACTTCTCCTCTTACCGAGGCCAACCGCAGTTAGCACGACGTGCCTCGGCTTAATGAGCTCGCTTCGCACCTCGTCAATTATGCCTCGAACCATAGGTGCGGCAACTCATTAACAAGGGTCAATCGTCCCATTTTCCACCTACCCTTAGCACTAATTAAAGCGCTAGATTGCAGTAATAAGCCACTAATTAGGCGCGCTAGATTTTGCGTAATACACGACTTCTGCCTATGGAGAGATTATAGATTATTTTTATCTCTTCGCATGTGAAACTCTGCAGCTGTTGGAGCCTATAAACTCGCCAGCCACCCCCGCTGGTATTAATCAGATGTTGGACCTGATCTGTGATATCGATTCTGCAGGACAAGCCTGGCTTCGACCGCGAGCCTGCCCCTTCGAGCCGGCCTTATCTGATCTTATCAACTGCTTATAACTTTCTGTCACCGCAATAATGTTCACCGTGCCACAGCCCAATATATCCACCTCTCGGATCCGACTGGTCTCGCTGTTGTCGGCAACCTTGGCAAGGCAGCAAGCGTTCGAATTGTTGACCCTTTCTCCTCTCGAGACCCTTATCGAACCTTATCAATGATATCACTTTCTGTCACCGGCACATTAGTTTTCCCCGTCACGATCCCCCACATCAAATCTTTGGATCAATGTCCTCACTGTTACGGGACCGGAGCTATGAATTTTCGTGACAAACAGACAGCATGGACACTATCACACACACACACGACATGGACATAGCGGATTATTATTTAGTAGGAGAGGGTCATCCACAATTAAACACAACATCGCATTGCCTTTGTTATATGGATCAATTTGAAATTTTTCTAGAGGTTGTTTTCTTATCAGTTGTTGTTGCTGTCGTGCTTCCACTCGAGCATGCGCGCTACGCACCCCCTCACCGGACCCCTTCCCTTGCGCATGGTCAGGTCCGGCTGAGTACATGCAGAGGAAGGAAGCAAGAGGGAGGCGGTCACTCGTTGCCGCCCCCCCCCGGCTTCACCCCGCCCTGCCCCCCCGCACGAGCTCACGTCCAGCTGCCACCCGAGCAGCCCGTGCCACAGCCTCGGAGCGCTACGAATGCCAAGTTGTCTTATATATGCTGTTATCAGTAATCAAAACATTGGATTATACATCTGCACCGAGTCGAATCCCGGTTTTGTCTGCGGTCGTTTTCTCCTTTCACTAACCTGTTTAATCCTGTGAAGCACTTTGCGGACGGACAGACATACAAACCGACATCCATTACAATACCTACATACCAACAAACCGACACACAAAGTTTCTGATAGGAAGAGAGAGCAGAGATTGCCGTTCCCCATTCTGATGCAACTTACCTTTGCCGCCCAGGTGCCTCGTTAGTTGCCTCTTCACAGCATGAACTATGATCTTTTATTATTCAGCTGACTGTACACCATTCCACACTAATGCCTGCTCTTCCCACTTCTAAAGGAGTTCGCTACGGCCCCGCCCCCTCCCTCACACCCCCCCCCCGCCTCCCCCCGCTCCACTTCTTGGAATCGCAAGGAGTCAAGCACGAGCCCCCTTGTGATTTCAACAACGTCCTATGTACAAGTCAGTGTGCTGTCCTCCCAGACAAATCGGGAACCGGTACCATCTCGGACGAAGAAAACTAGGTATGCCTGGGCGGAAGACCCTCGACCCGCGCAAGCCGCAAGAGCGCCACTTGCCATTACGCTAGGTCCAACTCGACAAGAGTTTGTAAGGAAATAGAAGTGCTGAATGGAGAGACGCTGATGAAATAACCAGTCCATTTCAATATTATGTACGCAAGAAAGAGAAAGAATTAGGTAGTCGACGATGTAACCCAATTCGGCCTAGAGCATGTATTCGATATACATTCAGGTTCGAAATGCGATTTGAATGCGTACCACGCCTACTATAACTCGCAGAAACAAGCCGAACCAGTGTTTTCATCCCTATTGTATCAGGATCGTTGTATTAAGCAATGGATTCTAAAAGGATAAAAGGCTGATCCAGAGCGGAATTTGATCTGGCATTTTTCCGAGCATTCCGCGCCCCTTTTGGCGGTCTCACCTTGGCCACTAAAGGAATGACATTAGGCGAAGAAGATACCGAACAAACAGCACGCGTACTCCCTGGAGCAGCTTCCTCATATAGTAGGATGTGATTCGGCGAAGATCGACCTCTTTTCGGGATGCGCCACCAAATCTACATCCACTCAAAATTGTGGTTTTAATTGCGACTATGGAGCTCTGTAACAGTGAGCTTCAAGAGCGGATAGAGCTTGCTTGTCTGAGGATAAACTTGAGCAAGGTTCCAGGGAATCACTTAACGAAGAGATAGAGCAATGAAACCATTCAGTACAAGAAACAAAAATGTTGTTGCCACAAGTATGTATAACGACGAATGCATCCATCATAGCAGCCGGTCTTATGAGTTAGTAAGATAGCATACGAGAGATCGTTAATTAAATAATCAGTCATCTAGTTAAAGTAGATAATAATTTACTAGGAGAGGAATCTAGTGAAAGATGAAACTGAGATGTTCCAGAATTAAACCCAATTTTGTATTGGCGCCTTCACAAGGTGGCCATGGAGCGCGGTAAGCGCCGTCCAAAAAATTCAGCGCTCTTCGCTTCACTCGGCGGTTATCGCCTCTCCTTTGCTCGCTACTCACGCTTCTCTCCAACTGTTTGTTTCACAGTCATGGAACGGGATTTTGGTATCACAAATTATCTTGGAGACCGTGAGATCAGTGTCCCTTGCGTGTTAAAAGAATTATACTCTGATTTCATCGTGCAGGAAGTTCTTGGTGAGTAAGCTTCACTTTTTTTCTGTTTTCAGTTTGAGTGTATAGCAGTTTTTGGTAGCAGTGGTTATAAGAACGTTATCGTTAATAATCCCTCATCTGTTACAACATGTCATATGAGAACATGTTGCATTATTACGTGTATTAGAAGATGCTGTAAAATGTGTATAACTCGTTGAGGACGACTTTCTCAAATCCGTGTAAGTGTTGGTTCATAATTTGCGGCAATGTTTTGAGCGCCCGCTAGCGTTTTGCGCGACTAGGAACGTAAATGTACCGATCTACTGTCCTGGCGTCCGCCTGCGTTTTTGGCGTCGACCGCGTTTTGAGCATTTCGAACGACTAGGAAATTATAGGTGTGGAGGTGTCGATTATCGCTGAAAGCGACTCTTTAGACGCTGACGCTCAAAACGGTGCCGCAGGGTATGAATGCAGTCTTACAATTGCTACCACAAACTGCCTTAACCGAAGAATCCGGTATCCAAGTACTCAATGATAATATGCCTGCAGAGGATAAAACTGTACTACAACTTCGGACGGGGGACGAGATCAGGAATTTATGTCAAGAGGAAGAGGAGAGAAGTGTTGATGAGACTGTCACAGTGCCTTCCTTCTTGAATAGTGAACACCTCCAGAGCATGGATGCTATGGATAAAAATTCAAAGCCGCTACTAATAATCTTGTGAAGTATGTTTTTTTTAGTTTCGGTCATTACTTCATTAGAGTGTGTTCACATTTCGGCGGCCGAGTTTTTAGCGTTCTGAGCGTTTCGAGGCGACTTAGGAAGTAAAAGTATCGATTCAGGCGTTTGAACGCACCCAGCGTTCGAGCATTAGCGTTTTCCGACGATATCAATTCTTAGACTTCTTTAGTTCAGAACACTGGCGGTCAAAACGCTGGTGACGCTCAAAACGCTGAATCAATACCTGTGCTTCCCTTGGTCTCCCAATACGTCCCAATGTATGAGCGCTCTCTCATGTTGGCCCAGGTATGCGAATATTCACTTCTCATTGCTGCTGAAAGCAATTTATAGTCAAAGTTTTCATTGTAGGGCCTTAAGCAAGGACGATCGAAAAACTTTACATGAATTCGTGAGGGTTGCGATATCATGGAAAACTGAGTACGGAAACAAAGGAAAATCTATCGAGGTCAACTACTGCGGTATAGGCAGTCGAGCAAGGTTTCCTTATTGTCCATTAGAAATGTGCCATATTCTACTGAACGCACCGCACGTGGCAGCGTCCTTACATGTCAAGAATAGTGAGCAACTTGGCAACGAGGGGGCACTTCGCGGTTTCGCTGCTCCACTAGTGTCGCTTTACAAGTTCTCACTCTGTTTGTAACCCTGACTTCTGTGGAGCTCGAGCTAGCTCGGCGGAGCCACCATGGTGAAATCTGCAAACTCTTGTAACCGTTATGAAATAGCTTACTAGATGGGCCACACGTGGACGGAATGTAACGGATTTGCAAAATGCCCCCCCCTCTCCCCCGTCTCGCGAGCTATCCTAGAGTTAGGAGATGACGGTAAACTTATACTAGACGATCGTCAGTGACGTCAGTACTCGTCATTAGCGAGGTTACGTAACGACGATAACCCGTCTCTCTGCCTTACAGGCGAGCTTTTTGGAACACGTACCCGCGCTACATCAGCGCATATCTATCGTAAATTTCACTCTTTCAGAAAGCGAAAACGTGGAACAGGATGGCCCTAATCAGGAGTCACTTTACGTTAGCAAAGAAAACAAGGACACTAGCTACGCTTTGGGCGTCTTTGCTAATTCCATCAAGTTAGTTGCGAATCCGAAATACTCATTACACCATTGATTCTGAAGCTCTTCAGTGGTGACTGTAAACACTTTCCGAACACACGCGAATCAAAGATCGCCGTGCTGTGACGTCTCAACGTGTCAGCTGAATCGAATAGAAAAGGTCCCTATTTTCTCTCAATTCATATAAAGAGGAATACTTCCTGTACATTTTCCATACGATGGAATCACTGCCTCCTTCGTTCTAGTTGGTGTATAGAGAGATCAACTTGAGGCGCACACTGGGTTGAGGCTGTATCGGGTCGAGATAAAAAAAAATGGTCGTCTTGGTGGGGGTATATTTTGCTAGGTGAAAGGGTCCTATGGAGACGTTGAATTCCGGTAAAGCTATGAATAGAACGAACTTTGTTTTCAGTTCGAATTCCATATGCCTCACTTCCCCCGTCCTTCCTCCTTACTACTACGCCGAACAGCTCCCGAAAATCTCCCAGTAGCGTCGATAAGATAGCTTGTTACATGGAATACCCCGTTCTTTGGAGGTATAAAGCACGGTATTTGCGTAGTCGGACAACGTGTGTGAAGGTTTTTGACACAGCAACAAATTTTTTCAGTATCATTTGTATATCTTAGTTTTTTGGTTCCCTCCAAGGTTTACTATTCAACTTTGATTTTCTTTCATCTGAGTGCTATTGACAGACTCGTTCATGAGTCTTTTTTTGGCAAGGTCTTCCTGTGTAACAGCTTTTTCAGACCTTTAATACAATTAGACATTACCGCAGTACTCCATCTTTAGTAAATTAAGTTCATCGCAAGCACTAAGCAAGCTTGCTCACAATAACTTCGTCAAGTCTTAATGCAGTGTGGTCTGACAAGGGAACCCAACAGGTCGATCCGGCCATTTGCAGTGAGATGTATAAATATGAACGTGTCTTGAGCCACCAAATCCAAATCTACCCTCCGATTTTGGCGGAACGATTCTCCACAGGGCAGTTACGGACCATTTAATCTTAGCTCTGCTCAGTTGAGAAGGATAACTGCATGCGGCGAGCGGTCGATGGCGCCCAGTGGATAAGTGCATTGTTTCAGAGACACGAGATACGAGTGTTGGAATCCTTGGCTGTCGAACTCTTTTTGCTTTTCATTCAAAACACATGGTATGAGCCCTCCGAAATTCCTATTTGGCCATTTCGGCCTAATTCCTTGATTAGTTGCCAACGAAAGGCGGGCGATTCCCCATGGTTCTTGAAACTTTTTTATTAATGAGGCATAACCACATGTCAGCAAGGGTTTTTGCAATGAAATACCATCATATTCATGTTCAGCGGGTCAAACTGACCCCTGGGGACAAATTTCTAGCCGAATCTGATATTTCCACCTAACGTGGAAAATGTGTGCTGTTTCAGGCGGAATCGAAAGACCATAGGGGAGCTCTCACTTACTGTTGGTAAATGGTCTCGAGATGGAACTACCTCTGGTAAAGAGGACGATGATGCAAACGGCAGCCAAATAAGTAAGCCGGGTAATGTCTTTGCGAAAAGGCACATGAAGAGGTATTTCAGTTGGAAAAAGCAGTCATCATCAGTTATGGTAGCCGTAGTATCGCTTTGGCTATCAGTCAGCCACAAGCTATTCATAACCCTTTTTCTCGAAAATGAGTTAGAACCTCGGATTCCTCCGAGGTGACGCTCTCTAGGGTTATTCGCACCCCCTGAACACGAATTTGATACCTTTTTTGCGCGAAGAGCGCTGTGAGTTGGCGCTACAGGTGCTAACGCTTTGGCGCTGGCGCGCCCGAAGAAGAAAAGCAATAAAGAAAAACCTCACAACTCCGCTCAGAGAATTGTTTCCGCATATTTTTGAAGATGTCTTGTGTTCATCGTGGCTAAGATGAGTACAATGATGTACATTTCGTTGCCAAATGCGGGCTGACGTGTTGGCCTTTCCTGTCAGCTTGTGCAAAAGCACAGCGAAGATTAAATGGTCCGTAACTCCCTCCACGAGATGTCAGTCCGCAAAATCGGGAGACAGGTTCGGATTCAGCGGCCCAAGACACATCCATACGTCTACATCTCATTGTAAATGGCAGGATCGACCTGTTGGGGTTCCCTTGTGAGACCTACAAATGTAATGCAGTGTAACGTAATGCACACTGTGTTGCAGAACTTGGACAAATTGCTTTCGATGACTTTGATGTTGTGAAGATGGTAATACTGCTCATGTTTCAATTGTTTCAAAGTCTGGAGAAGCTGTTATTCAGCCGAAAGCTAACCGAAAGATTGCATGAACCAGTCCTCAATAGCCACTTTAAAGAAAAATATCTTATAGGACATGTGCTGAGGGATAGGGATTCGATTCTCTCGTATTAAATAAATACGTAAATAGAAGAATATCGAAGTCTGGTCCATTACATAGGCCGAGAAAATACAGGTAAATACTTTGAAGGCAAAGGCTTGCCCTACACGACTAGGAATGTCATTCGTAATTCGCTGTTCGTGTGAAACAGCCAAAATGCTGAATTATCTTACACTTCCGACAAATATAGAGGGGGTAGCGGATAGTGGCTACTTCCATTAATAAGGAGAAGGGAGGTGTGTAAGTGCCAAACGCCCAATTCGTTCAAAATGTTCATTACCTGAAACGCCGAGTCGCAAAGTATGAGCGCACCTCACAAAGTTTGCCGTGTGATGCACTCGACAGATTATTTTGGCAAAGGTTCAACAGTAATAGCCTTGGAAGTTTTATTGTTTCTTGATGACCGTGAGTCAAACAGAACGGGCGCCGTCAGGAAAACAACAAAAAGCTCCTTAACTGACATCTAAGAAAAGCTAAAGAACGTAAAAACTAAAAGCTAATAAAAAATTACAACTGAGAAGCTTGATAGAGAAACATTGATAGATAAGGATCCTATAACCTATGAGGACAACATGTAATGACCCCAACGTGGCTAAGGCACACGAGAAAGCACTGCTATGGTCGCGAAATGAGTAGTGAGTAAACAAGTGAAACCTAGCCCCGATAACATGAGGAAAATGGTACCGGAAAATCAAAACAAGTGGAATGGTGCTAGGGATAACACCACATAACAGGGGCAGCAGGGCATGCCTGTATAACCTGGCTGGTTGTCGGTTGCCATATTCCCTAGCCCTAACAACCAGCTTGGCCACTATCCGGCTGAAGGTAGCTTCAATAAGGAACGAGAAGCGAGGTCACTTACAAGGAAGGTCTTTGAGGACGTGGGGCGTTTTTTAAAAATGGTTGTTGCTCGTTGTAGGGTCCATGCAAGGTTTTACAAAAATGGGTTCCAATTTTGCTGTGCGTCTCTTGGGGAGGTCAAAAACTGAGTGAAACAATTTGACGAGAAATCGCGATTTTAACCGTGTTAATGGCTCTGTGTAGCTTGTCTTTGACAGTGCATAATTCATGAGGTTTCCCTTCCACTATGTATTGCAAAAGATAGCAAAGTAAAGCCAATTAGAAAGAAGGACGGCAGGGGAGTAATACAGTTACTTGAACGATCTCGCAACCGCGTTGTGCGGATGGCGGAGTGGATAGTGCGGTGGGGCTCTCGCGAAGAAGGTTATTGAGATCGGATCCCTTGGCGACTAAACTCTTTGCATTTTTCGGATAGTTTATACGTTTAACGGTTTTGGATTTACGGCACCCATTTTTTTTGACCACGGCGCAGCCTAGCGCCGACTGCGCAGAGC